TCTGATTGAAAGCTTTGATTTTCACGTATTACAAGGATTCAGAAGCACCATATCCGAACGGCAATTTTTACTATCATATCGGGGTTCTAGATGTGACAACCTAAGGTTCGCCATAAGTATTAACATATTAGTGCCTAAATGGTACTCGTGAAGCTCAAGGTTCTTTTCCCTTAGCAACATTATGCTTCTGCTATGTATGCCAACCCCAACGAGATCCTTTAGTGCCTGCCTCCCAATGACCACATATAGTAATTCCGCAGATGCTGAATATGAAATTTTCCCTGAGCGACAGTAGTTTGTCGAGGGGTGTAGAAGCTGATTAGGCTTCCTCAGTGAGGGTTTATTTGCCTGCTGAAAAAGTGGCCCTGCACTTCTCTTAGCAAAATGTGTCGTTTGAATAGTAACAGTTTGTACTTTATCTTATCCTCCTATTGGGGAGGTTCTGTGGTATGTTACCCATTTGAAAAGGTCGCATAGAATATCATTCGGTGGTCAAGCCCGTTATTTCTAAGTGGGGATGAAATGATTGGAAACCGGGAATCGGATTTACTCATGCATTGCGACCGATAACGCGGGAGTGCCATGCGCTCGGTGCCGAGTGGAAGTAGATATTTATTTTCTGAAAGAGCTTTCGCGGAGTGTAACCTTCTAAAATCTAAGTTTGTTCTTTACTACTGTTGCAGCTAAAAATGGAGCAGGATGTTTGGGGTAATGGTGATGCGAATAAAAACAGGGCACTATCATATAAAAAACACCCGTCGCAGGTGATGTACAGGTATACTAGCCCCCGTGAACGCCAATATTAATAGGAACGCCAGATCAAATCAAGTCCAAAGAAACAGCCAAATAATTCATGAGCTAAGCTCAGACATCCTCAACGATCGATTTGTGCGCTATTTTGGGTAATGACGCGAGAGACCCGATCGGCACCGGAATTTCTCGAGTCTTCCCTTAGGGTCTCCAAGGAGCGAAAAAGTGCCGGGTTGGGAAGGTAGTGGGTGAGAATCTACTCTGCGCATGGCAGCAGCGGAAGGGAGTTTGGGTGGAAAGCCGCCCGAAGTCGCTCGAGGAGTAAGGGGATCTCGGCCGCTCCGCTGGCCAGTTTTCCCCCGATCTCGCTTTCCGGGATCTCTTCTGGAGGCTCATCGAGGTCTTGGGTCAGGGGGTGCCTAAAGACTCGGGGGACGTGGGAATCTTTAGTAATTCCCCGTGGTGCTTGAAAATTGCAGCATAGACTTCCGCTCTAGGGACGTTGCCGTCAAGCATTATTGTATGGTGGGGTTAGTGGGAAGTTTGAAAGGTTCTTGGGAGATAGAAAGGAAGGTAAAATTTTGGGGATAAATCATTGTCGGGTAGCCGTGTTTTTCTCTGCTGGTGGGGATTTGTGAGGGAAGGAACAAACCGAGAGCGCCAGGGGGGCGGTAGGCATTTATAAGTACAGTACACACTTCCGGCGGGGAAAGTTTGTCTTGGTATGAACAGACAGGTGTCATTAAGCTAGTACAGGACCTACGCGCGAATAACGGTATCTCGGGGGGCGGGGAGGGGCATGCTACATCTGAACTATCTCAATTGCTTAAGGTCGATCAGGGACACCGGTGGAGTCAAGATTTCTTATCATTATCATTGCTTTCTAATAGCATGATATTTATTACGAATAAATACAGTTTAACCTCGCCTTGAGCATTCCTGCATAACATGCTACCGAGGGCTTTAGACGAATTCTGTTCTATGATATCATACCTGGCGCAAACCCCCGGAACAATAGGTTTGTATAACAAAACAGGTATCATACCAGCGGCTATTCTCATCTTCCATACTCGCTAAGGTGGGCACAGCCTCTTCCCAATCTGGTCCTTGTCAGAACATGCTCCAAACTAGTTAGGAGATGATGGGGTCGAGCAGCGCTAACCTCTCATTCTAGACTCTCCATTGTGCAATACCAATCTATGAAAAAGAGGTATATTTCCCCGCATAACATGGACCTTCAGATCTCTAATTCTTTTCCCGGGGCGGTTAGTAGTAATGGCCCCCACGTTTCTGAACTCCTTCCAGGTCTTGGGGGCCCTTTTTCTTCTTTCCCTCTTTTTCTGCTTCTGATGGAGGTGATGGAGAGCGGTATCGTTCCCGGAGAATTGGTAGCCGATTCTTGAATCCCAAGCCACTTAATCCAGAAAACCAACGTCCTTGTATAGGAAAAGGATTCCTATGATACGTCTTTCAATCTATCTGGTTTATGACCTACCACTATGACCTCTTCGCCCAACCCCGGCGGGGCCCCGGCGGGCTCACCGAGGGTCCCACAAGACAACCCCCCCTCCCGCCCCCCGCCCGTGAATCCCGTCGCAGGGATACCCCAACCCCCAACCGCACAGAAGTACAGTACACCAAGGGAAAGCACCAGCCTCTACCGCCACCAAATGCATCTGCAGCTGGAAACAGGAGAATGCAAAAGATACAGTTTTATCATCATTGGTACGGGGATCAGTGGGGTCTCCTAACTGAAAACCGCATGTGTTAAATGATGCCCACGGAATTGTTCTATGTCCCATAGCTCCAAAAACCCGGTATCTGAAGCACTTCCGTACTCCCGGATCACCTGCTGTTTTTATTTCGTTTCACTTGTAGACCTAATGGCTTCGCCGGGTTAGCCCGAGTTAAGGTTCCTCCGGCTGGGCCGGGTTGGGCCCACTCATCCCCGTCCCGGGCTGACCCACCGGAAGGCCCCTAAGGAGGACCCTAGCAAAGAAAGGACATGTTTGGAGAACCTGTTCCACAAATCTCAAAAGCTCTATAACGATCCATCAGACCTCCGAGCGGTCCACAACACTCCCAAAATCAGCTGTGACATCCGACATATCATACGCACATAGAATCGAACAGGTTTTACATGATAAACCCCTAGGGTGAACCCCGCCACGAAAATTCCTTCCCAATGTCTACCGGAGCACTCCGGTATACCGTGAAATCTGTGAGGTCAAAGGGACGTTGCTCCCGGGATCCATACCCCTTTAGCGGGGCTAAAGCCCTCTGAATACCTACAATTCTCGTGATGGTATACTTCTGGCATCTATAACATTAAAAATTCTAGCACGACTTCCAACAGTTCCAAGCAAAGCGCCGTCCGAGCATCCGTAAAGGACATTGCCGCTTGGTTGAATGCTTAGAGGAACTCGAGCGCCTTTAGTAGGCGCTCTGAATTTCCCTCTATCGCTATACATAAATCCGTTAGTACAGTATCTATCGCACGACCCCTCCCCCTACTCCATACATTAGCCGTTCAGTATCGCAAAATCCGGAGTCTGGGAGTCACCCTTTTGATTTCGGGTTCCCTTTTTTGGGAAGCAGGCTTTATGCCGCCTACACTGCATCAGGCTGATGGTATTATTATAGCATGCCTGGGCTACGATATGGTCGAGTTTGGCCTTTCGGTAGATACGGTTGCGCGGTTTTCAGGTCCCCCCGCCGTGGGTTCTTGGTTAAGTTAGGTCGGAAACTTTGTTGAGAGGAGAGGTGTCATGGCTAATACGTAATCAAAACATGAGGGCCTTTTTTTTTTTTCTTTTCCCTACTTTGCGTATATGCTCTGAGTTAGGTTGAGTGGGGTGGTGCTATGTCGAAAGGTGGAGGATCGGCTGATGTGCTCATATTCGAGGAGAGTGCGACACAGGTGCGTCCTCCCCATGCTAGGGAAGAGGGCAAATGAAATAGCAACCTCCCGATTAATAGGGCAATAACTTTTCACTCGATTATCATAGAAGGCATCTGAACTACACTGGTATATACGGGATTTCTTCACCAATGTTTGGGCCGATTCCCGGAGGATTTATATATCATAGTAATGTTAAGGTAGGTCAATGTGTCACGATATCCTGTGACTCAAGAGATTGAAGAATAAAACTCTTTTCCTTATTGCTAACCTAACAGCCCCACAAGGTTTGGATGGGGGGGGAATCGGAATAACAAAGATCCACCATCAATACGTCCAATTTCTACCCTTTCTCATATCCACCAGCAAGCAACAGTTTCTGGGACGCTTGTAGTACACGGCGAAGTGTGAATACCTCCTACGTTCCTTCACCGTCTCCAGCCACCTCTGCCCACTCAGTTTCCAAAAAGCCGTCAAAATATTTGCCGCGTTGAGCTGCCTAGTGGTTTTCTCCTTGCTCACCCCCCACGGTTGTCTTTTCTTCTCTTCCATAGGGTGACTTTTTGCTACCGAGATACCGTTTTCCGTCAGTGAAATCCCGGAGAAAAAGCCGGCAGGTCCTTTGTTGCCCCACACAAGACAGATTGAATCGCTCCTTCCATCTTCTCGGAAAACCTTTGTCAAAAGCCCAATGAGTTTATCCTCCCGCTGCCCCCGGAAACCTCGAGCATTCAACCTGCTGCAGTTGAAAACCTAAGCTGGGAATAAGCATACCACAAGGTCCAAGCCCATATTAAGCGGAAGAGCAAACCTCTTGAGACTTCCGCCACAATTTCACATATCCCTGTGGCCTGGGAAAAAAGGTCCCCAAGTTGATAAGACATACAATGATTAAGGTGACGCTTCGCGGGCCTAAAGCGGTCCCTTCGGCACCCCCTCTCTCTATGCTTATAACCATCTCACAGAATCTCAGACAAACTTTGGCCAAACATTGCTGATAGAGGAAGCGCTCCAGAACTGAGGGCGACCTATCCATTCTTTCCCATCTGTCGAAGTACAAACGATGCCAGGAATCGGGAACCAGAAACTCATACGGCCGGATTAGGAAAATCTGAACTGGTTAGCATCGAATCCCGAATACGGATTGCTTGCCTACCAAAGATAGAGCCAACTCTTCGTAAAGAGAAATGATGGGTGCTGAGTAAAAGTTCAATGCCTTTTTTCTTCTCCCCAGAGCGCCTAGGATGTCGGAAATATTTTTGCACTGCGCCAATGTTAACAAAACGACCACAAGGTGGATCGCTAGCCCAGGCATACAAATTTCCCGGGAAAATCCCCAGCTTCGGTCTCCGACAAGAACCGATGGACTAATGTTACAATTTCCGAGCCATATTTGAAGGTCAGGTCCCCCCTATCGACTGTTCGAGAGCCGTCCAGGAAAGCTGACCTCCACTGGTCTTTATACCCTGTTGCGCTTTAGAATACGGCGCTTCCGGCCTGCGAAAACCCCGGCGCACCACCACACATACCTAGAAATAGCGATGTTTGGTATTGAGACAAAAGAGAAGACACACAAGCCCACACGTCCATTCGAACAGCTGACTCTATCCGATACTCTGCTGTGTCTTTCTCGATCAAAGTTGCGTATAATGCATGATGTCTCCCGTCTTGAGTCACGAAATCGGACTTTATTTTAAACAGAACCTCAAGGCTTTGCTCGTACGAGGATCTGAACTCCATTTTCTCCAGAAGAGCTGCTCCCCAAAATCTCCAATCCCCTGCGCTGCATCAGAAAAAGGATACTTTTGGGTGGGTTAGAGCGGGAGATCTCACAATTTAGCGGCAATAAATTCTTAGACCGTCTGTTGCCCTTAGTTATTGCAGAAAATTTTGAAAATATTCGGCAAAGGCGTGCCAGTAACTAGGAAGCGGTAAGTGGGTGGTCTGGAGGGCAGAATTTCAACGCACAGAACCTACCTCTACCTTCTCAAAATGAGTTTCCCCTTGAGTTATGTGTAAGCAAGGTATTATACTTAAGGAAACTTCTGGGATTGTTCCTACTTAGCGTCGGTGGGGGTGCCGATTGGCTTTTACTCCATATTTCCCGCAATCCCTGGTCCAGGGAAACAAGGGAAGGAACGATATCCCCTAAAATATGCCCCAATATCCTCTCCCCCAGTGATCCAAAATCCAGTGGTCTAAATAGGAGCTGTGGTTTGGATTCGTCGCTGGGCGGAGACCAATCTAGGGCGATGTACTCTCCTGGTTGGCGAGGCATCTCGTAGATCCCACAGTAGAGTTGAGCTGAAGATGGTATTGTCCCATGTGAAGAGATTTTACTCAAATCTTCGAGCACGCGCTCGATATGATCAAAAGGAAGCCGGAATTCGTTGTTCGGATATGCGCTCCTGGTTACCTATCGGGGAGTTAGGGGGGAGAACCGCATAGAGATTTCATAGGAACAAACCAGAATATCCACATATCCAGCAATCTGCACATCACTAAGCACCCCCGTCTCTATACTCGTCTTATACCAATCAAAGCTATCGAGCGCTAGATTAATAGCTTCCCACCTTCCGATAAACGAGTTGATCTGTCGGTTCCCTTTCTTGCTTGCTGCCCGTAGCACTTTGTGGATCTTCCCGTCTGCTCCGGTTCTTGGCCCGGGATTGGCTTCAATATGCTCTGCTTGCAGAAACTCACACGTCATGTCCAACTGTTCCCCCTGTCCCCAATTTGGATTTTTCAACAAGATTTGGTCACTTAGCAACTGAATCGAGATCTCCAGGGGCCCGGTACTGGTTCCAACCTCGTAAGCTTCCACGTATCTCCTGTTCGTGCTGAGCAAGTGGAAAAGTTTGCTCATCAGATGAAGTCTAGAGAAAGCGATTTCTTGCTCCTCTAGAGATCCGGTAAGAATAAGAGCTCTTTTTCCAAACTCGTCGAGAAACGTATCGCTCCCTCCAAATTCCTTTAAGTAGTAGAGGTACATATACTGTTTCCAGCAACAAGGCTCAATCGCTGACTTAAACCTATTCCCAGAGGTCAGATAATCCCAATACGCCTCTTTGAGCTCCGGGGGCTAAACAACAAAAGGGATCTGGTATAAACCTTTTTAGGTAATTGAACATCCATTTGGATTGTTTCCCACGAGCATATCCCGCGAGCGCCTTCTCATGTTTATCAAGTTTGGTATATATCTCGCTTATTTCTGAAAACAAGCCAACTTCTGCTCCAAGCCAGGCAGCATCTTCATATCCTCCATTATCGGCAAGAATCCCTATATTGTTTAAGCCTTTAAGGTTTCGATCTTCCCTTAGGATTTACTCACTAATTGCTCCTTTTGGATCGCCCCCTGCCTTCCGGCATTGAACTGCCTTCGCGATGCTATCGGCTTTTAGGAAAAGCTCTGATGCCTCTAAGAAATGTAGATTTGCCTCTTCAGACAACCCGTGATCTCTGGCGGTGAGTCCTTTTTCTTCAGTAATATATGCATTGGCCAAAGTTATGCCATCTGGATCCTCAGCACGCTCAAAGCAGCGGAGAGCCTAGAAGAGAGCTAATCAGTTCTTTTTTTTTTTTTTGAAAACATAACATATACCAACGAACTTCAGAATATTGGTTTTCTTCAATCATCTGACACCCCATTTCCCTCCATCGGAAACTACTGATCGTCGTTCCTCTAGACAACCGCTCACGCATTTGCGAAACCTAGGGATGTCAGAGTGGACAATCCAGTGGGGTTCAGGACATACCCCTGTATCCAGTTCCGTGGAAATCTTTAGCAGTGACTGGCCCCCTGTTGGATTGAACAGGCGTTCCATTGGCTGTAAGACACGTCTGTTGCTTTCCAATATCCACAGTCTGTTTCGAGCTCTCGTCACTCCAACATATAAGTGCTTTGTATCCCCGTAGAATTAGCGGGTGCGTTAAATCTAAAATAAGGAGCTAACTACTGCCAAACTACCTTCAATTCTGAAAAGAGCCCCTGTGACGTGGTTAGCATCTCTTCTACGATATAAGTCATTAGTTACCCACGTTGTCTTGATATTCAAACTTGTGAATATCTTCTAAGATCCCTAGTTTATGGCTGTACGCACTAGTACTAAGGAAATCATAGAGTAAAACATCCTCGAACTCCATGCCCTTACTCTGGAGAATAGTTAATACTAATGAAGACCTTCCGAGTTCGGTTCGCAGCTTGTCCCGTGTTTCTTCATCCCGAACCAGAATAACACGCACTTCTCCATATTCAGTGGACCTCCCGTCCTGGGCACCCGATTCCGGGGGGTCTTCCACTTCCTCTTCGGACCTCAGTATATCCGTAATGTTGCCTCCAACTTCAAAAATTAGTACATAGGGTAGCTGCCGGTAAGTGTATGGAGGGGGTTACCATAAAGTACGGGCCTAGGACCGCGGGCAACCCCAATTTCAAGCTCAAATTTATCTACCAAACCCGGAAAGCCTAGGTCATTTCATAAGCATAACGCAAGGCAGTGGGGCGTACCGGGAAACGGCATACCACTATACATGAGGTCCCTCACTAAGGAGGCAACCTTCAAAATTTTTTCATGCGATCTAAAGTTGTGCGATAATTGATGCAACGTTGGCTTTATCTCTCCCTTCTTCCATGCGCTGCCCACGAAGCGTTCATAAAACAGGGATTTCGCATTCGGGAACCGGAAAAGGGCGTCTTTAGATATACACTGGGCCGTATCGCCCGCTGCTCGCGGGTGAGAACTGGGAGTCGGGAGGGAAGGGCAGAAAATAGAGAGAACCATATCATACCAAAATGTACACCCCAAGGATGCTCCACTAGGGTCAAAAGCATCCTTATATCTGACGTTCGCTGATCCTGTACCTCTGTGTTTTTTTAACACCCCCCAAAGCTAGTATTTTCGCGGTAGAAATGCTCACCATCCACATAAATTTCGTCTAGCATGCTCCGAATCTTCTGTTCGAATACAATGTCTTCATATGCCCCCGAGGATTTGAATGCCTCCAAAGTCTTCATAACCTTTAGAACCCTATCCACCTGATCAATTTCGCCACGTTCCTTCTTAGCCCGTTCATACCATTCGTACAAGTTATACACAGCGTCCATCCCTCGCTCTGGGATAATACTTGGAGTCGTTCTCAAAAACCCCCCTAGATATTCTTCCCGCGATAAGGGCTTGAAGTTTGTGGCTGGCGAAGCTGATCCCTTGATGACTCCCATGATTTCAAGAAATACTAAATCCACCGGAATGCCGCTCTTTAATCTATGGCTAAGAGGCCTCCAGTACTCGGTGTTAAACCTTCTAAAGTCAACAACGCCGGTGCATTTAGAACTGTTTATCCCTATGTATCGTTGTCGGTTTTCCTGTTCTCTAAGAGCGGCTCCGTATGTCACTACAAAGTAACAGCTTTTCCGGGGCGGAGCAACAAACCGAATACTATTCTCAATGAGTCTTAGCAAGTAATCAAAGGTGCATACAAGCGGGAAATCCGCATTGGTGAGTGATAAGAACTGCTTTCTTGTGTTGTCATCGAAATCGTCTTGGGCATAACTACCCTCAGTTGGCTCTTCCCTTTCACCCAATTTCGCTTCAAGCAGTCCGCGAGTATTGACTCTCAACTTCTCCACCAATCTCTTTGACTTTGTTAACAAGACCTATATTGTTAGCTTAGCCGGCATGACACCCCCGGGGTATGACCTAATCTTAGACTTCATGCAAACACATACTTGTCTCAATGGTTCTTCCCTCTCCGATCTAGATAATAAATATCTCCCTACTAGCTTATAAATCAAGCAGGTGGTTTTTCCCGCCCCACTTCCCCCGAAAACAAACTCTGGGGGTAAATAGTGATCCACTACCTTGGCCTCCTCTGCCGATATGTCGACCGGGTATGCCACGTTTTTAGTTGTAGAAGTAATGTTATCCAGAACAGTCGTAGTAAGACTATAAAACTTCTCTATCAACCGCGATTTTAGCACCCCCACGCGGGAACAGTTCGTGTGGGACTATTCTGACTTCCTTACCTAGCTGCACCGAATCACCGAAAACCTCATCGCTAGTGCCATCAACCTCCAAAACACCACTTTCTTCGTCACCCAAGCATACCCTCTTTGGATACCTGATCTCCCGTGACCCATCCAAATCGTTTCTGTTGCAAGCTCTCACCCGAGATTTTGCATAAACTTGCTGTGTCCGATAAATCTGCAGGGCAATCTCATCGAGCTGCTGCAACTTAGTATCACCTTATCTGCATCATCCCCGGACTAAATACGTACATTTTTAGGTTTTCCAATAGTCCATACTAAACCGTGGTCACTTGTCGTTAGCCCTCTGCCTATGGGGATATTTCACAGGGCTCGGACCTTTTATAACCTGGCAATCTTTGTCGAACCTTTCATCAAAAGCGGTATCAATTTGCCACAATATAAAATGCCCGGTTTTGTAGAAAGCTTGGAATAGAGGGATTCGATAACTCGGTGAGTTGCGCCACTTTGCTCTATGCAATATTTTTTTTCCCCCCCAGTCCCCGGAGGCCAGATCTCGGAGCTTATGCAAAATACTCTCAGAATCGTCTAACCGATATCAGCAATTTTCAAATCCTTCGGTTCCGTGGAACGAGTACCTTGAGTATCCCCTGTTCCCAGATTCTCAAGTGCATGCTGGGAAAGAATGACCTTCCATGGCCCCAGAGGCTCGCCTAAGAGGCATTTGAAGACATTTGACTCTGCGTTTAATCCGAAACGGTGGTCCCGGGATGGCTTATGTTCCCCCTCAGGGCCCTGGCTAGGTCCACAATCAAAGGAAATGCTAGAAGGACAGAATTTACAAGGAACAGTGCGAATAAACTTCGCCAACTCCGTGCCGCCGGCTCTCCTAGGCCCTGACCTGTGAACCCCGCATCCATTGCAGAGATCCATAATAAATTTAACCCACTGCTCCCCGGCCTGGGGTTCGGAAATGAGATCTTCAAAGCACTGATTGTGTGTTTGCGCCAGCTCTTGTATATGCCCCTCCGAAATCAAAACCCGCAATATATCCGGAAGAGCTCCTAATCTTACACCAAAATTGCCTAGAGTCCTCGGATGCGATAATTTTACCACCGAGACGACAATTTTTGCGGCTGCCTTCCTAGATTTCATGTCATCGAACCTTTCGGCGAGAAATGAGAGAGTAAATGCTTGGATAGTTTCTTGTAATAACGATGAATTGTAATCATCTTTCTGCAGGCTAGGAAATTGACTTAACAAGTAGGCAAGATTATTTCCATAAATCTCTATTCTTGAGAAGAAATTTGTGAAACGTTCTTCCCTCAAGAGGATTTCAAAGATCTGGAAAGGTTTGGACTCCAGTGATGCGTACGCGGCTCTGAAATACCTCGGTTTTTCTGAAAATATGTACTCAAAGAATCCAGTGCTTGAATCCATCGCTCGGTAGACTAGGTTTGCAAAACCACCACCACCAGGGGAAAGAACTTGTCTGTGGGCAGTTGTTAGGGGCAAAGGCAGTATACGAGGAAAACAGATCTCTAGTCACCCAACCTTTCTATCGCCCCCAGATCTCACTCAGAAGGGTCTTAAGGCCCCCCATTTTTTTCTTTTTCCACCAGCTCTCTCAATCGCATCTCTAAGCGTAGGCGACACTAGCCGAAAGGTGTTCTGTGCTACCGCACGTGACATACTACTTGTAATACCCGA